GCATTTAGGGCTGGGACTGCCTTGTTTTAACGCATCGGGCTTGTGTTATAAAAACGTGTGTGGTTCTTAGAGAATGCTTGGGTTCTAAGAACATGCCGTGGTAGGCCTAAAGGATGGCAGGAATGCCAGGACGGTCAATCTCTGCTCAACGTACGGCCCGTCACCGCGCGGTCTTGTCTTGGCGCCAGGCCTGTGTCTCAGAGGGGCAAGAAGGCATTGAACTGCGAGGAGTGCCCCTGGCCCAAGGCGTCCCCAGGAATTCCAAGGAGGCCCCGACGGCCTCAACAGCACCCCTCGCGAGGCCCAGAGGGCCCCAGGGGCTCCAAAATGGAACGGAAAGCTGGGGACACCTCGCAACATTCGCATGATGCCCGTTCCATGATTTCCCAGGTTTCCAGGAATTTCCAGATGTCCTAACTGCCCACACGGGCTGCAGAAGCGAGGGCCGCTGGATGCACACTGGAAATCCTGGAACGCGTTCTGAGCCAATCCAACCGTGCTCGTCCTACTATCGGCCAGAGATCGGCGCCACCCCCAAATACTAGCACAGGTTGTGCGTCGCCCCCGAGGGGGCGACGCGCATGCCGAGAAATCTTGTAGTGTAAGCTCGAGATCCGTGGAGGGCGCTTCCGGCGCATACCTCTCGGGAAATGATGTATTGAAAATGACCATATTTCATGAACGTGTCGGACGCACGCCTCCGAGGATGACACATAGCTATCTCCTTCTGCGTTCCAGGAAAGCTGTCGGGCGTTACGTACGGGGGGGCGATGAGCCTGCCGAGCACTCGGCTGCGCGCTGGGCCCTTCGCCGCGCCCTCGGCCGCCAAGGATGGTGCCTGCGCCGTCCTTGGCATGCCGCCGCGGCGCCAGCTCACCCCACCCGGCGCGCGTGCGTGCGCTGCTGCTCGGGCGCTGCGCAGGAAAGTTCAGAGGAGCAGAAGGTACCCGTACTGCCACCATTCCCTCGCTCTCGCCTGCTTGGGCCTCCTGGGAGGCCCTCGTCGCCACCGCTGGATTCGCCTCGAGATTCTGGTCAGAGCGCACCCTGGGAGAGGTCCGGGAAGCAGCGGTATCGGTTTTTTTTTGGGGCTCCCCACGCATGAGGGAGCAGAAAGATGCACCTCTTGTGCACTCAAGGGGCCACCCCTGGGGCCAAAGAGGGGCACGACAGGTGCACGTTTCTCTCTCCCCCAAGTATCGGAGGCCTAGAAGTTGGCACCAGCACCGATACCGGCGGCGTGCCTCCACCGAGGGAAGATCATCCCGATCCCGGTAATGGTGGTAATATTGGGGCTTGTTGGGTGACCGAAGGATCACCATAAACACCAACATTTGGGACCATCTTGCCTTGGTGGAGGCAACCCCTTGTTTTGGTGCTCGTGCTCATGTCCAAGCCTCGTAAATTTCGGACCCCCCATAAAGCGACGCCCGGTGTCGCCGCGCGGTTTTGTCATGGCGCCCGGCCCATCTCAGCCGAAAAGGTGGGCGACAAAACAAGAAGTATGTGACCGAGAACGTGCCCGAAGTTCTGACTGAAGACGTGGTGCGACAGAGGTTGCAACCGAACTGGAGAATCGCTGTGGTTTCGAGCCGAGAGCTCCCGTTCGGAAAGAAACGGGCGCCCGTTTCGGCCACACTTCGGCATATTTTCGGGCACAGTTTCGGTCACTGCCCCCCCCCGATAGAGATGAAGCTGCGGTCCTCGGAGAGCGATCTGGCCCGATGTTCGCGGACGAGCTTGCGTGCACCGTGCTCAGAGGAGGGCGAGGTGAGGCAGCGGTATTTTAGGGGGGTCCCCTCGTCGCCACGGCTGGACGCAGCTCGGACAATCTGCGCGTGGATCCTGGGAAGGGGGCCGGGAACCGACGTTGAGTTGCCGGAGAAGAGGAGCGGCGTGAGGTCCGCACAGATTTCTCGGGTCGGCGCCTGGGCCCCCCCTCGCGGAGGGTGCGGTGCACGGGCTGGGGCGCGCTTGGAGCACAGGCAGAGTCAGGGGCAACGTTGGGGGTGGATGGGCTCATGGGGGAGAAGGGCGGGGAGAGGGGGTTCCACGTTGAAGGTCTTCTGACTTTTTCGTCGGTGCTCGTTGGCTCCCCAACCTCGGGACGCCTTCCAGCGGCTGCGCCTCGCGGAGAGCGTTCCGAAGGTTTGCCCGGATTGACCCGAACGGCCGCCAGAGAGCCGAGTCATGCCAGGACACTCAGCGGGCAACGACAGGGGGGGATGTCGTTCGGCTTAGGGGGGGGGCGCATCGGCACCCAATCTCCCGCTGATCGCCGATCGGGGCCTCCTCTAGCCCACCCCGCCCAGGGGCGTGCGGCATCGCTATCGGGGGCCCCTCGCCAACCCGTCGGTGACACGTCGCCGATTCCAGGCCGACGGCGTCGCTCCCCCCTCGAGACGGCCCCCTGCCCGTCGCTCCCTCCCCGCAGGGGAGCGACAGGCAGGGCGGCCGCGCCGCAGAGGCCCCGGCCGTTCTCGGGGGGGGGGGGGGGAGGGGCGTGCTCTGTCAGCTGCCGGGAGCTGCTCTCGCCCTCGCCGCCCTCCCGCATGGGGAGCTCCCGCCCCCCTGTGGAGCTCGGTGCTGCGAGCTCCGTCGTGGGAGGCGGGGCGTGGTCGGGCGGCTCCGCGCCGCCCCCGCCCGCTCCGCGGGGGACTCCGCCGCTCCTCTGCACGCCACGGCGGAGCGCGCTCCGGGGAGGCTCCCCACAGAGGAGCTCCGCTGTGGAGTGGGGTCCAGATTTCGCCTCCACTCCCACCTCCGCTCCCGCACCGCGTGTTTTGGGGGGCTCCCCTCCGCTCCCGCCTCCGTCAAGTTTTCCCTCCCCCATGACGCTTCTTCTGGCCCCGCCCCGTCTGCTAGGGGCATGGTCTGAGCGGGGGCGACCCCAGCGCGGGTGTTCGAGGTTCTACGCCGCCAGGCCGATGTCGAGCGATTTGCGCCATCGGAGGGCCGCGATCGCTCGAGGCTGGACAATCCACGCGGTGCCAGAAACCAACGAGCAGCACGTCGCGACACGAACCTGCCGTACCCCCCTCGCCCCTATCGCTTGCTGCTGCTCCTCGTCTTCGCAATTCCGCTTCCCAACGGCGCGAGATGAGCCTCCGGTTCTGCGACCAGTGCGGGGCCTACTGCTCGGCAGCCTCGCCGGCACAAGCGGCCGCGCCTTTTGCTTGTCTCCGCCCCTTCCGCATCCTCGCCTCTGTCCCCTCCTCGTCTCCGCTCGGGGGCTGACTGACCACCTCACCGATCCTAGAGAGTGTGTTTGAACCCTCTGGGCCATAACGCGCCTTACGTGCCCCCCCATTCCCCCCCCCCCATGAGCCCCCGGCCCCGCCCCTGGTGCGCACAGGCGTGCGGTGCCAGAGCCACGAGGCGAGGGGGGGATGCCTGCACCCCGCCCACCGTCCCGCCCACCCCCAGTAACCCCCGTTGTCGCCGCAAAGGAAAGGATGTTCTCATGGCGGAGCCGATGTCCAGCTCGGATGTGCCTTCCTGGCCGAGCAATGAGGGCATGCACCCCGTACCTGGGCTCAGGATGAGTCTGGCCGGGATCGGTGCGGTGGTCACCTGACGTTCCCCCGATCCATGTCCTCGCCTCCAGGTCGGCGCGTCTCCACCTTCTCGTTTTCACCGCCCGCGCACGCATCTCCATGTGTTGAGGCGCCGTCGCGGCCGCTCTGTCTGTCTCCTTGTCCCTCTCTTACATGCTGGCCATCTTGCCATTCGGTTGCCCCGAATTGCCACAAAACGGAGCGGACCGCCTCTGCCTTGCCGCCGACGGAAACATGCGTTGAGGCGCCGTCCGAGGCGACTGGACCCCAAAAAGAAGATTCTCGCAGCAGGGCGCGTGTGCACAGCAAGCATGCGATTCCAGCCCAACCGTGCTTGGCAATCATTCTTGCTGCGTCTGGTGCATGGTGGCGTTCTTGCACGTATCCTCTTTGGGCAGCGTTCTCTGGCCATGGTGCAGGATCCGTGGTTCGGCTTGGACCTCCTCGTGGTCGCGCAAGGATGCTTGCCGATGTCTGCAGGCAGCTTCGTGAATATTGATCGTGGTGGCATGCACTGGCCAGATGAATTCTAATTCATCGTAGTATCTTCCAGCATGGGCACAGCAGCGTTGTCGACAGGTCCTGGATGACTACGCAGCAGTCTGACAGAGGGAGGTGCTGTGAGGAGTCTCCACGAAAGAGAGGCACCACACTTAGAAAGACCTGCGTCTCTTTTTGTTGAAGCCGCTAGCTGCTGGTTATTTGTTCACTCCGCCATCGCAGGAATGCTGGACCTCACCCTCCCCTTCCTGGCCGGCACCTATGCGTCTTTATTGGCGTCCGGAGGGGCGGATGCCTCCTGCTCCTCCTTGGTTTTCTCCTGATGCTGCTTCTCTGACCTCCTCCGTGTCCCCCTCTCAGATTTCTTTTGGTTGTTGGGGGCCGCTGTTTGGGTGGGCAGAGAGACGCTGGTCGTGAAGGAGGACGGAACCAGACTGGAAGAGGACCAAAGGATGAATCCAGAGTGGGAGGCGTCGGGGCAGAAAGTGAACATAGCGAACACGCGTTGACCGTCATCGCACATTTCACGTGGCCCTGTCGGCGTGATCGAGGAGCTGAGGAGACGGAGGAGGCCAGCGGTGGGAGGGCATCGATTGGGATGAGGAGGAATAGGTAGCAGAGGGCGAGGAGAGAGAGGGGCAGGAGCCCAGGGAGGTAGGGGAGGAAACCTCGGGGTGGGCGGCGGGAAAACGACAACGACGAGAACGAGCGGGGTGGAGGAGGTGGAGGAGGTGGAGGAGAAGGAGGAGGAGTCAGGAGTAAGGAGGAGGAGGAGTCAGCGGTAAGGAGGAGGAGGAGGAGGAGGAGGAGGAGGAGGAGGAGAGGAGGAGGTGGAGGAGGTGGAGGAGAAGGAGCAGGAGTCAGGAGTAAGGAGGAGGAGGAAGAGGAGGAGGAGGAGGAGGAAGAGGAGGAGGAGGAGGAGGAGGAGGAAGAGGAAGCGGGATCACCAGATGTACGAGGAGAGGAGGCACGGAGGGCCTGGTAGACGCTCTGGGCAGACCGCGGTGCGCGCGCGAGTGTACCCGGACAGGAGGAGGCGCTTGGAAATGCAGCCGAAACCGGTGGTTCGGATGGGTAACATTCCCAAGGTACCCTTGTTGACGGGCAAAGCTTCCGCCACCGTTGCCATAGGTAGGACGGGGGAGAAGGGGGACGGCTGCTGGACATCTGCCTAAAGGCCCTAATAACCGACCAGACTCGCAGTAACGCGTTGGTGTGCTTTAAGCGTCGATGAGTTTCCGTGCAAGGGGGGAATGAGGGGTCAACGAGGAAGCAGGAAGGATGAAGGGGGACAGGATCCGGGAGGATCACAGCATATCTTCCGACCCTGACAGACCAAACGTTGTTTCAGATATGTTACAGTTGAGGGGGTAGTTGCAGTGTTGACCGAGATTTAAGATCAGCTCGTCGTTCTAACAATGCTGGAAGTCGTGGATGTCGCCCTTGAAGAATCAGGAGTTGCATAATGGAGGAGGGGAGATAGATGAGCTAACGGAGGGGGAATGAGGAGAGGATGTGGGAGGAGGGGAAGAGAGGGAGGAGGGGGGAAAGGGCAAGGGAGGAGGAGGAAGAGGAGGAGGAAGAGGAAGAGGAGGAGGAGGCCGAGGAAATGGAGAACGACAAGCCATCAGAGGGCGGCGGAGATGGAGAAGAGAGTGGAGAGCAGAGAGCAGAGAGCAAGGAGCTCTGAGGGAAGAGGTGAGGGAGTGAGTCGGGAGGAAGGAAGAATGACCAGGAAGAGAGGAGGAGGGATCAGCGAGACGGAGGAGGACGAAGAACAGGAGGCGCAGCAGGAGCAGGGAGAGGAGAAGGGGAAGCTGCATGAGAAGGAGCGTCTGTCTTGCAATCGCGAGGGGGAACAGGTCTGGCTTCTCTCCAGCACTGGACGAGAAGGGCGGCTGGAGCTGGATATTGTCGCCCCAGCGTATCTCTGTTTCTCTGTCTGTTTACCTCCTCCCTCCTCCCTCCACCCTCCTCCCTCCTCCCTCCTCCCTCCTTTCCCTTTGCCTATTCCACCCTGTCTGGGAAGCCTCCTCCTTTCCATCTCTTGGTCCCATGAGGCGTGCCAGTCGCACAAACACGCACAGGCACACACGGACACATCACACATACATTCACACGCAGACACGCGTTTTGGCGTCAAGGCCTCTCGCGAAACGTCGAGGCGCAGGTCGGACAGCGGAGGCGAGATGCGCGTGCGCCCTGTCCAGACACACAGAGACACACCTAAAGAGACACACACACACACACACACGCACGCACACAACGCAAGGCGCTCCACTACAAGGGAGAGATGGACGAGAGAGGGAGGGAAGGAAAGGAGGAGAGGGCAACCAAGAAGGGGAAACGGACGGTGTCAGCGAAGGGGGTTGGGATGGAAGGTAAGAGGATTATAATGATGGTAAACAGAAGCTACATGAACATACCCTTTAGAGAACTGCGCGGATTTCTTGGGTCGGCGCTCACCCAGCGGTCTTGGCGTGCGGAGCGCGCCAGGGGCGGCCTTGAAGGCGCCGCCTTGGGGGTCCAACGCCGACTCCAGAACTCTGCGAGGACCTCCGAACGGTTACGCTTGTGTATATGTTTTCTTGCTCGAGGGATGTGCTGGAGTGGAGTCCAAGAAGGGCCGGGGAGGGACCCGTATAGCGGGCGAGTGTGATATGTGTATATGTACAGAAAGAGAGAGAGAGAGAGAGAGAGAGAGAGATATATAGAGAGAGAAAGATAGAGAGAGAGAGAGAGAGAAAAAAAACAAAAAGAGAGAGGAAGAGAGAGAGAGAGAGAGAGAGAGCGAGAGAAGGAAAAAAGAAAGAACGAAAGGAAGAAATGAATACATACAGAACGAGAGAGAGAGGCCCGCCAACTCCATCTGGTCCAGCAATGACCTCGCCAAACAGCGCTGCTCCGGCTCCTCCGGTCGCCCCTGGTAGGCAACCGCAGTCTGGCTGGTCGACCACCCCCTACGCAAGAGTTCGCCGCTTGCGCTCTTGCTACCCTCATCTGCCCGCCGATCGCGGCTGGATCCAAAACTCAGTACACCAGTTCGGTGTGGCCCTGCGCCTTCCCCCCTGCAGCAAGTGCGCATCTGCTTAGACAACGCCCCCCCCCGGCAGGGCTTCTTGCCTTGCCTCCTACGCACTTCAGAGCACCTGTTCGGTGCTACCCCCCAGCCGTGGCCACTACCAGTGACCTGCGCGCACACCCCCAGCGCGGTGCCTCCGGCGTCCCCCCGCTCACAACAACAGGGGCCTATCAATGTCGTGTTCCCTCGGCTACTCTCTCTGCGTCGCGCTCCAGTCCTGCGTAGGCCTCCGCCTTGGTGTCGACCGCTGGTCACTCCCTGCGCTCCCTGAAGGTGAGGTTTGACCACTGAGTCAAGCCTTGGTTTGCGCCCGTGCCCCGTCTTCAGGGTGTTCGCACCTGCCTCGGCGCCGGGCGGGCCGGTTTGGCCGCCCGCCCCTGGTTTGGCCGCCCGCCCCTGGCGTCCGCCCCATCGTTCCCTCCCGCCCTCCCCGCTCTGCCGCGGGGCTCGGGACCCGCCGTTCGCCCCACCCTGCCGCCCTGGGAGGAAGCCACTGCCCCGCCGTTGCATCCCCTGTTCGGCTCTCGGCTCTGCTGTGCAGGTTGGATCGACGGCCTCCTGCAGGATGATGACGCCTGGCCTCGCAGGCCGCCTCCCCCCCGAGCTGCCCCTCCGCTTCTCTTGGTTCTGGCGCCGCGCTGCCCCTGCCTGGTTTTCAGGCCAGCCCACCTAGGCCCCCGCTTGGGGCCTGTGGGTGCTTGGCAGGCCACCCACGGTCTCGGCATTCCTGCTCCCCCCCTCTTCCCGTTCGCCCCGCGGGTCTGCTTCTTCTTTTCAGGCAACTCACTTGCATGGCGGCCTGTCTGACTCACGGACCTGTCCCATCGCCGTCGGGCCTTGTGGTTCGCCTCAGCTGCTTTGTAGGTTGTAGGTCGCCCATAACCTCGGCTCCCACCGCCCTCCTGGCTAGCATTCGTGGGGCTGGCTCACCGCACTCGTCCTGCTGGGGCATTGCTTTACAATTACTCAATATGAATACTACTCTCCCTCTTCCCCTGATGACGTCTTTTGCGTATTCGCCCCCCCCCGCGTACTGTTTTTTACACACACGATTCCCCGGAGTTGGGTTTTCGCCTGCATTTTTTTTCGAAATGCTCCTCTCGCTGAGGCGCCGGCCTCATTTCTGCTCCCGAATCGTTCCGAATCGTGCTCCCGCTGCAGCGTTGGCCTCATTTTCGGATCGGTGTTTTGCCTCCGTCGTTCAGGATGGCGTTCTCGCCCCAGCGCGGGCCTCTTTCTCGCGCGCCCATCCGCCCGCCACCACCGCGCCGCACCACGCCCCGCCCCGCCGCACGCACACCCACCGCCACTTCCACCCACCAACGCACGCACGCACGCACGCGCACCACCACCGCGCACCGCCACCACCACCGCACTACCCCACCCACCACCACCACGCTACACCGCGTCGCACAACATCACACGCGCGCACACACAGACACACACGCACGCACGCACACACACACACACACAAACACATCACAGACACAGACACAGACACAGACACAGACACACACACACACACACACCACCGCCACCACCACCACCACCACCACACCACCGCCATCACGCACGTACGCACCTGACCCACCACCAAACCACCAAGACGCCACACCACGTCACACCACAGCACACGCGCACACACGCACACACACACACACACACCACCACAACAACCACAACCACGCACACACGCACGCACGCACGCGCACCACCACCCACTACGCACACGCGCGCGGAGCCACAGGTCCGCTACGACACGCGTCCGCGGATAGAGAAAATCAGCGCCATGGTAAGGGATGGGAGGGAGGGGTAGGATGTCAGATGTTGACGCGAGCGCACCTAACTTGGAGCCTCCCCCCTCTCTGCCTCCCACTTTGGGCTGGCTGTCTCGGCCCAGGCTGCCTCGTAGGTCATGCTTGGCCTCGGCGCCCAGCACGTCGCCGCCCTGGCCGGGCCCTCCGCCCCTGCCGTCCTGGCCAGGCGGTCCCATGCTGCTCCGGTGGCAGTCGCGGCCCTGCTTCCTGGGTCTCGCCCGCGCTCACTGGCTAGCGGGAGCTGCCCGTCGCTCCCCCGCCGGCTTGGGGGCTGCCTCGCCTTTGTCGCACTCCCCGGGCGCCTGGTAGGTCACATGTGACCTCGGCACCCTGTGCTCCCGCTGCCCGCTGCCTTCGCCTTCGCCCCCACGGATGCCGCGTAGGTCACCCTGACATCGGCGCCCCTTGCCACCTCGCTGTGCTGCTTCCGCCTCCAGCTTGCGCTGGACCTGTCGCTCCCCCCCCCCCTGGGCGCATGCCCTGGCGGCCGCCCTGGCTGCCACCCCCCCAGCTGCTGCCCCGGCGCTGCTGCTGGCCCCCGGCCCCGGCGCCCCCCCGCCGCCACCTGACCCCACTCTGAGCGGGCCCGGCCTCCTCTCTCTCCCGCCCGCGCTGGGCCTACCTCATCCCCCCGCACGTGCATCGCGGCATACTTCGCATTTGTACGCGCTACATATGCTCTTCCCGCCAGCGCAATCACTCTGCCTAGCCGCCGACGCAACAAGTGTGTGCCTGTGTGTGTGGGTGTGCGTGCGTGTGTGTGTGTGGATATGTCTGTCTGTCTGTCTGTCAGTCAGTCAGTCTGTCTGTCTGTCTGTCTGTCTGCCTGTCTGTCTGTTTGTCTGTCTGTCTGTGTGTCTGTGTGCGTGTCCGTGTGGGTGTGTCTGCGTGTAGGTGTGTGTGTCGTTCGCCCTGGCCGCCGTGTTCCTGGTCATTCCTCCCACGGCTCTGTCGCTCCGCTTGGCCTACGCGTGCAGGCTGCCCCCCAGCATGTTTCCACACAGGTTCGAACCGCTGTGTCGCAGAACACGCAGTTACCGAGAGAAAGCGAGTTCAGTGTGGCGTCCAGTTCGGGGGCCACGGGGTTCCATCGGAAATATGCCGCACTTGTTTGCCGAAGATGCATGAGTGGAGCAGTGTTCTGGATTGTCGTCCGATGCTGCAAGTTTACCTGAAGTGTGCGACTGGTGCTGCGCAGCGCTGTCCTGCCAAGCTCCATGACCTCTGTTGCACCTTACGCTCCTTGCCTCCCCGTCTTCCCCAGGAGAATTGGAGAGGAGGAGGTGGAGAGAGTCTCGCAGATGCTATGAGGCAAAGTCGTCGACGGCAGCTGTCGGTCCTGTTGTTGGAAAGCTGTGTGAAGTCCCTGTCGAGAGCTGTGCTGCGGTCGTCGTGCAGCGAGGTGCGGTCAAAACAGGGTGTTGCGATGCGTGTCGTTTCCATATCCGCTGCAGCTCTCCGCCCGTGTCCTCCGACGTGTTCCTCCTGCTTTCCTCCTCCTCTCCATCGCCCTGCCTCGCTGCCTGATGCGACCCACAGAAGATCTGGCATGACCAGACTCTGTCGGAGGTCCGCGCGGGTCTCCTGCACCGGCGCTGGACCCCCCTGGCGGCGCCTCTGGCGCCGCCCCTGGCGCGCTCTGCTCGCCCCGGCCGCTCTGCCAACGCCGGAGGGGGAGGGGCGCAGCGCCGAGCGAAGTGATCCGCGCGGACCCCCGAAGGTTGCTGCGCTTACGGGCGGTGGGGACGTCCTCAAGGCACGGGAGACTTGATACCACAGTTTCGAACAGCTATCGTTGCTGACATCGTCTTGGCACCGCTCTCGAGAGGCCTCACAACGGCCTAAGCCAGCCTTCCACAAATTGCGATTTCGCCAGGGACATCATCAAAAAGCTCATGTTCCGAACATCACATTGGATTCTTGTTTGAAGGCATCACGGCGGCCCAAAAGAGCCCAAGCCAGACTCTCAAATAACCCCAGATTCCCGTCGACCAGCGGCGACCCCGCCGCCGCCGTTCAGCGTAAAGAGCCGCCAGCAACCCAGAATCGGTCGGTGGTAACGTTGCACGACGAAGCGTTTCGGAAACGGCCGATCGTTCTAATTTAACCGATCCCCGCGATGTCAGAAACCAACGCCGGGGTCGACACGACACCAATTTGTCGTATGCATTTCCCAACACTCCCTTGCTTGGGCACTCGTTTAAGATAGAGCATTGTGGGTCCCACCTCCTCCTTCTCCTCCTTCTCCCTCCCTCCTCCCTCCTCCCCGCCTCCCCTTCATCCCCTCCCCTCAGCCCCCATCCTTTCCTATTTAGTCGTCCTCTCCCTCGTCGAGACCTCCCGGGCCCTGCAGGGTTGCGAACCGCCACTGGGCTCCTGGGAGGTCCAGCGGAGTGGAGGTCCACGCAAATCTGCCGAGACCTCGCAGCTCCCCCTGCGGCGTTGCGAACCGCGCAACTGTAGCCATTCTCGTGGCCTCCTGGGAGGTCCAGCGGAGTGGAGGCCCACGCAGATCTGCCGAGACCTCGCGGCTCCCTGCGGCGGTTGCGAACCATTTTCGTGGGCTCCTTGGAGGGCCAGCGGAGTGGAGGTCCACGCAGATCTGCCGAGACCTCGCAGCTCCCCCTGCGGCGTTGCGAACCGCGCAACTGTCCCCATTTTCGTGGCCTCCTGGGAGGTCCAGCGGAGTGGAGGCCCACGCAGATCTGCCGAGACCTCGCGGCTCCCTGCGGCGGTTGCGAACCGCACAACTGTCCCCATTATCGTAGGCTCCTGGGAGGTCCAGCGGAGTGGAGGTCCACGCAGATCTGCCGAGACCTCGCAGCTCCCCTTGCGGCGGTTGCGAACCGCGCAACTGTCCCCATGTTCGTGGCCTCCTGGGAGGTCCAGCGGAGTGGAGGTCGACCTGCCGAGACCTCGCGGCTCCCTGCGGCGTTGCGGACCGCGCGACTGTAGCCATTCTCGCGGGCTCCTAGGAGGTCCAGCGGAGTGGAGGTCCACGCAGATCTGCCGAGACCTCGTGGCTCCTTGCGGCGGTTGCGAACCGCACAACTGTCCCCATTATCGTAGGCTCCTGGGAGGTTCAGCGGAGTGGAGGTCCACGCAGATCTGCCGAGACCTCGCGGCTCCTTGGTGGGTGCGAAGTGATCGTCTTTCATCGTGCTCGTTTGTATTGAGCGGCTCTTAATATAGTGGCCCCGTTTAAATTATCCCAGTGCGACCCTACCTAGGAGTTGGAGCCTCTAGGAAAGCAGCATTAGTAGGAGCGGTAAACGCCGTCTGCCTCCTCCTCATCGTTGTAGTTGTAGCAGTAGCGGTAGTAGTAGTAGTAGTAGTAGTCGTAGTAGTCGTAGTAGTAGTAGTAGTAGTAGTAGTGGTAGTGGTAGTGGTAGTGGTAGTAGTAGTAGTAGTAGTAGTAGAAGAAGAAGACGAAGAAGAAGAAGAAGTAGTAGTAGTAGTAGTCGTAGTCGTAGTCGTAGTCGTAGTCGTAGTCGTAGTCGTAGTCGTAGTCGTAGTCGTAGTAGTAGTAGTAGTAGTAGTAGT